TTGGATGAGCTTCTGTCGACAGGGGCTTGACAAAGGTCTTGTCAGGGTAAATTAAAAAGTACAAAGGATAAAAGATATTTGCCGTTAACAACCTGCGTCAAAACCACTCATCAGAAATAAGAAAACTTTGTTATAAATGCAAATTCTCGCAAAATATCGAATGAGATAAAACCACAAAAAGTATCATCAGAGTGCGCGATTTCTTTACAGCGTAGTGATACTTAAGGCTTAAAAGAATCCAATTTAATTAGAGCAAGCCAGTTTTTTAACTCACCGAATTGGCGTTTTCAAGACTTCGCTCCGTCTCACTAAGAATACGCTGCGTTTGAGCATACTCCTTGCGCATCTCCTCGTGATTCGCTTGGAGACGCTCTAATTCTTTTTTCGCGCTTTCAATATCTCCTTGAGTGCGATGTAGCTGAAGTGTCAACTGTTCATGTTTTTCTTGCTCAGCCGTGATGTCCCTTTTAATACCCTCTGTCTCGGAGGTCACCTTTGTCATCTCATCCTGTTTCTTTCTAAGTTGGTAAGTGGTTCAATATTATGACCAGAAAATTAACGAGACATAAACGAGGAGAGAAAAGATTTGCATACTCGAAGTCCTTCATTAGTTCTCCATAGGCTTCGTTCCTGCGTTGGAGACTAATCAGACTGGTAGTCCAGTGAGCCATCAGCCGCTTCCTATCGATTTTGATGCCAAACACCTGACTCTCCATGTCTTTTAACATGTTTTCGCCGGCTCTTAACTCCTCCTCAGCTGCAACAAGCTGTTCTTTTAACAGCTCGCAATCCTCAGTTAGTTGATCGACGGTTTGCTGCATCCGATGCGCCACCATGTCCTGGTGAAGTTTCTCCTCTTCTGCCTGCATTTATAAGGCGTTCAAATTAGATTTAGCTGAAATCACCTTCGATAATTCAGTTGACGCCTTCTCAGCTGCTCTCTGCATGATATTTATGTCACTCTTCACCTCAAGTTTGGCATTATTTAGGTAGAAAAGACGTAATGCTAGGTTGTCAACCTCCTCTCGCATTGCAATCATCTTTTTGTATTCCAAATTATAATCCATCTGAGTCCTTTTAAACTGTTTATGAAGCACCGCCAACTGCTCATCCATTTTTACACGCCGTGCTTGCCGTTCTATGTTTTCCTTATGTTTCTTTTGCAATTGAGATTGAAATCTAAAGTAGAATGAACACGTATTGATCTTCAAAATCCTCTACTTGGAGAGTTCTTGTTGGGCGTTGTACAACTCGGACCCCAATTCCAGATGACTGTTTTTTATCCGCTTTAATTCCTCGGTCTGTGCATCAAAAAGTTAACAACAAAATGATACCTTTTCACGAAGCTCAATAGCGGCTTTTGAAATGTGTTCCTTAAGCATCTTTTTAAGAGCTACTTGAAAGCGTTTCATAAGTGGCTGTAAGGGACAAAATAAGCAAGAAAGATTCATTACATGATCAGGATGTAAAACAATCAGCTCTCCATCATTGTCCTCGGCGCATTGTTCTACTTCTGGAGCCACAACATTTGGGTCCTGATCGACTACATCATCGGGAATCACATTAGAAGTATTGACCGCCTCGACAAAAGTAGACGGTGATCTGACATCGTTATCCCTGTCAATTATGCTATCAAGCTGCGAAATGGAATCCTCATTGAAGGGAATATCCTGTTCCCTCTCAGGCCTATCGAGCTCTCCAGAACCGTCACGCTCCGGAAAGGACATTAGGATATTTTAAATATTGCGATCACTACTACAAACTAAAAACCGACGTTGCTAAACAATTATCACAAGTTGGGCTCTTAATCTTATAATCAGCGGAAAACCAAACCTCAGAAGCAAGAAAATCCATATACCTCGACAAATTCGATTTTGTCGATGCCTCATGTGGACAGCTTGCTAAGTTAAAGCAGCTGTGTGCTGTGCCTATCCTAAAATGCGATATCGTGCGAAGATAATTTACTTGTAAAGTAAGCTTAAATTAAAAAAGCTATCTTACGGTTTAAAAATCCTTCTGTAAAATGAACCTAAGGCTGTGTCAAACGCGCCAGAAACTAGAAACGAATAAGGGGAATAACCAACTCATGCCATAGTACAAATTTGACTGAAAACGTACAATTACATAGGAAGTATGCAGATAAGGCATAGGTTTGCTTGAAGCCCAGCCTAGAAGCGGAAGAGGAATGGCTGTGTTTAGAGCGATTATTGAACCAAAACAACGGAATTTTTGGAATCGATCTAGTAATGTGCAAAATATGCGAGGCCATCGATGTAGCACCTATTGGTTGTTTCATTTGTTCTTTGCAGGAGACACATAGGAAGTCAGTATAAGCCCATTGTAGGATCTCTTAGCCCACCCTCTAACCCTTTAACCTCTGACCTCAGAAGAGGGTTGAGTGGAAGGGCCTATTTCGTATCTTGTACCGAATCTGTGAAGGAGGGTATTGACGAAACAATAAGCCGTCACCATACTGATGTTTTTGCGTTCCCCAGGAACCGATTTTGAGTTAGAGTTGCTTAACCTTCTCTCTCCCCCAAAGGCAACATAAATACAATGGTACATACTACACAGCCCTCCTTCTCTTTCAAACACCGTCTTCAGTTTTGGCTTTTAGAGTTCCTTTAAGTGATCTCTCTTCTTCGGCTTCGCCTTCGTAACCATCCGAAAGGCAGATTTGCATACGGCCTAGTCTTGTTATGTCGTACTGTTAGGGGCTGGCTGAAAATCCTGCATTCCGGATGATATAGTTCGTCAGTGAAAGAACCTTGACTACGCAATAGTTTTCCTTACACTAGGGATGATAGAATTTCCGATGAGTTCCTAATGGAATGATATGTCTATACAACTGCACCAGATCTGCACTGTTAAAGACATTTGTTCGGCTCTGTTTACCTTAGGACCTCTTTTGCTTGACATGTGTTTTCTACCGTTGTATGCGTGTGATCATAAACACTTACCTAAGGCTTTCATTTAGTCACAATATGTCGGGCGCGTTATCTGCTGAAAGAAGAGGGGCGTCAGAAGAAACCCTCATTTTACAGTCCGTGGGCATCTTAAAAGGGGAGGCTCCAATCGGTGGGCAAGAAGGGCGCATCCTATGTGCTCTTGGGATGATCTGGCGCCAAACGCTTTTTACGAATTCCAAAGGTTTTTGCACAGCTCTTAAAAAAGATGACTTTCAAATTTCGGCCCTTGGCTTTTATGGGCAAACCCACGATTGAAATATATGGTTACTACTGTCCCATCATACTGCGCCTTTAACGGTTCAGCTTCCGCTACCTTAGTGAAATAATCTATTATCACTGTAATGCTTTGTTTATGCGACTATCTGACGTTTGGCGGTCACTG